AAATGTGGGTGTGTTTTTACTTTATTTTGTAAGCTCAATCATTCAGTGTCAGAATCTCAATAAAATCTTAACATAAATAAATGAATGATGTTCTTGTTCAGTACTTTGGTTTGACATGGCTATAACACTGTGTGCCAACCCTGGAAAACTGTTACAACAGTTACTATTCTTCATTTGTTTTTTGAGAGTAACTGAATAATGACTATATTTTAATAATATTTATTAAACTACATTAAGATATTAAGTATTTCTGTGTTTGTTTTCTGTGACTATAATAAAATATTGAATCTGCCTATTTTATTAACAGTTTTGCAGTGCTTGCTTTGGCAGCACATATACTAACAATTTTTGAGATTGAAAGTCCTAGATCTTGTGGCCACATCTATTTGGGCTCTGGTGAAGGCACTCCTGACTACACCACAGTATAAGAATGACATCCTATATCATGGAAATGGGAGCACATGCAACAGGGGGAGAGTACCTGGAAGTCGAGGAAGCAAGTAGGACTCAGAGGTCAATCTTGCTCTTTTTATAACAATCTGTTCTCACAGGAATTAACTGGCTCCTCCTGAAGGAAGCATCCCCAGTGACCTAACCACGTGCCAGGAGGTCCCGCCTCTCAAAGGTTCCAGCACTTCTCAGCCCTGCACACTGAAGACCGGGATTCTAGCACATGAACTGTTCAGAAACACACTGAACCCATATCCAAACCACAGTACTACTATATGGCTGTTTGCAGAGAAAGCTAATTCATCAAATCTATTTACTATAGAAAAAAACAAGCAAGGTATGGTGATGCATGCCTGTAATATCAGCACTCTGAGAGTGTGAGGCAGGAGGATCACAAGCTTGACCCCAATCTGGATAGTCCAGTGACTTAGTGAGACCCTGTCTGGAAATTAAAAATAAAAAGGGCTGAAGATATAATTCAGCACAAAGGCTCTGGGTTCAATCCCCAGTAATACACACACACGAAAACACACACAAAAAAATAAAAATCTGTATCATTCTAAGTAAAACTCTTCCTATTAATTTTTGGTGCCTATAAACATCCTGTACACATTCATTATTATAAGATGGTTTCATATCCTGATGCTTTAAAAGTACAAACATGAAGTTTTTATATAATCCTCCCTTTAAAAGAAGGAGTTGCACCAGGCCTGGTGGTGCACGCCTGTAATCTCAGCACTGGGGAGGCTGAGCCAGAAGGATCATTGTGAGTTCAAGACCAGCCTGGGCTACAAAGTGACTCAAGGACACCCTGAACTGCATAGCAAAACCCTGTCTCAAAAAAAAGACAAAATAAAAAATAAAAAATGAAGTCTTTTTTATTGTTTTTGCTTTGTCTTGTTTTTGTCTATGTTGTTGTTATTTTGTTATTTTTTATTATCTTTAAAGTAAAAAAAGATGGAGTCAAATCTCCTTTCCCCTTAGTGTGGGATTAGATTCGATGATGCCAATAAATAAATAAATAAATAAATAATAATACTTGGTAAGAGTGATGAGATGTGACTGAGTTGTAGAACACATTGCACTCCTTCCTGCTGTCTGAGATCACTAGCTCTTGATGAAGGCAGCCTTCATGTCATAAGGACTTGCAAGTACTTCTACGAAGCTCTAGATAGTAAGGAATTGAATCCTCCTAACAATTAGCAAGAGATGGAGGCCTTCTTTACACAACTGAGTGAGATATTTGGGGAGCAGACCTCCAATAAACCTCAGTCAAGTTAAAAATGATTCCATCCCAAGTTAAACTCTTAATGGCAAACCCACAAGAGACCTGAGCCAAAACCACCCAGCTGAGCCACTGTCATACTCTTGATTTATAGAAAATATGTGATAATAAATGCTGTTGTAAGCTTCTTGAATTGATATGGGAGGATTTCTGCAGCATTTGTTATGCTGCAGTGATCAATATAAATTATTCTACTGTCATTCTCATACAGTGTACATTGTCCACTTCATAAAAAAGTATGCTTTAATCCCTATGTTACTAAGCTTCTCAAGTTAGCTTAAAGCTACAAGTTCTGGACCATTTCAGGATTAATTTTTAAAACATTTTGAAGAAATGTAGGATGACAAAACTTTGACGATGCTCTAGTGCTCTTTAATAGTGCTGACTAAAAGGTGCAAACAGAATTAGTAATCTAGAAAGATCATTATTGTTGCATCTGTCCACTGATCACATCCCTAATGTAATTTAAAAAACATTGTAACTCTCAGATTCACCATTCTAGACTATTCCCACGTGCTGCAGCAGTTTATAGTGGCCTACTATATACAGAAGGCTACTGCTCTCACTGCAACAGAAGCCTAGTTGATTCTTCCAAATTACCAGTAAGGTCATATCATTCCTCCATCCCTTCAAAACCTAAATGTAGTCCATCGCTACCCATCTTGAGAGGGTGCTCCTCACTTCCTTTCAGCTCTCATTTTCTATCATTTTCACTATTGCTCACCGGCCACCCACTGATAGCTGATTATCAGGGTCATGAGCTTATTTCCACCTGGAAAAATTTTCTCCCAGACATTCACACATGGCTCATTCTCTCACTTCATTTAGAACTCTCCTTGAAGGTCACTTCTTCACAGAGGAATTTTTTCTTGTAGAAGAGCTAACCTAAAATGCTACTTCTATTACTATTCAATTTTTAATAGAATTGTGTCACCTGGCACTAAATGATAGGTCTGCTTAACTATCTAATTGCTCTTGGTCTTTTTAAAGTAGAATGTTACTTCTAACAATGAGGACTTTGTCTAGGTTATTTATCACTCAGGACTGACAATCTTGACAGTCAACTTGATTGGTTTTAAAGACACCTAAGAGATTAGTAAAGCACACTTTTGTGTGTATCTGGGTGGATCATGCAGGTGTGAACCTTAGAACTATATCTGTTCCCTGGCCCCTTTCTCTCTAGTGTTCTTTCCCTGTCCTTTGCTTCCTGACCACATGAAGTATGCAGCTTTGCTCTAGTTCTGCTTTAGAACCAAGCAACCATGGACTAAAACCTCTGGAATCATAAGCCAAAATAAGCTTCTCCTTTAAATTGTGTATGTCAGATACGTGGGCCACAGTCACAAGCCACAAGGGAACTAATATATCACTCCATCTCATTGCTTAAAACAGTATCTGGCACATGATAGGTGCTCAGTAAATGTATTTTAATTAAAGGCATCTCTGGATATATTTATATCATTTAACAATAATTACTTACTTGATATTTAGATTCCTAACAATTTTTTCTATTGTGGATGGTTATTCCATGAGCATGTGTATGTACTATGCACGCCATAAACATGTTTAGGAAATAAACTTTATATTTGTTTCCTAATATTTGGGATTCAAAAGCTATGGTTATTTTTATGGTTTTATTGTATGAATCATAAAACTGTTCCTTATCAAAAAGTTTCATTATGTTTTTATATCATTCCTTAAACAAGAGCTACATTCTTCCTACGAGGCACAACAATGTGCTTCTTCCCTTTTACAGATTGCAAGTTTTGTAGATAAAAGATGACCATTATTAAATTTTACCTCTTATAATTAGCAGGGGGCATATTTTTCATATTATTACGTACTTTATGCATTTGTTTTTAAAGTGTCTTACCATACCTGTTACTCACATTTCCACTGATTTACCTTTATTCGTTGGTAGAAAGTGTCATTTTTTTTCTAGGTAGTCATTTATCTTTTAAATTTCATTACATTTTTTAATGTATCAAACAAATTTAAATTTTATAGTCAAATTAACTATAACTTCCCTGAGTCCTTACATGCTTTAACTTTGCTGTCTTAGAAAGTTTTCCAATCCTCTGCATAAAGACATTTACCTATTTTCTTCCAGTGCTTAATTTTTTAATAAATAAAGAAAATAAACTATATTACAGGCATAATTTAAGAGTTAAGACTCTTACTGCCTGATTTTTTGCCTCAATTCACTACTTGGGTGTTCTCATTTTAATTCCTCCTTTCTCTATTTAAGGGGATTTGAAATTGTGAGGTATCTTTTTTATATTAAAAGTACACATATGCACACTTATTTTTCCTCTTTACCTTAAAAAAGTCCTGAGATAATCCCATCTTTATGCTAATTTTTTCTAAGGAATAATTAGTTTTTGTTCCCATACACAGTAACTCATTTGATATTAGTAACTAGTGGACTTAGCGCAGGAGTAATGCTGGATACACTTAGTAAGAAACTCAACACCTGTTGCCCAAACCACAGCGAGATTCATTTTAAGAATGTCAGTTCATTCAAAACGAAGCTATCGCTTCCAATAAAGGATCACGTCTGGAAGATTAAGAATAGCACCTCAGGGTTCTCTTCTGAAAGCTCTAGGAATTCTAAGCGTCCAGTGCGGAAGAAGAGGTACAGGAAGAACTCATGCAAGAGCTGGTCCAAGCTAGAAAGAGACACTGCCCCAGGAGCCCATGGAGCTGACGGAAACAGGTAGTGAGGCACTCTACAGACGTCCTCTGCGTTGTTCATCAGGCTGTCTCGATTTTGAATAATACGTCTGAGATTTAAATTCCTTGAGCGATTTAGACTCAAAACAAAATGAAACAGAAAACTGTTTGTAGTTACCCTGCGTCCTTGGAAATGTAAAATGCTTAATTCCTAAACCGCAGAGCTCAGTCTGGTAGGGACGTGTAGTTTCCCCGCTGACTGCCTCTTGAGCTTTTCTAGTGCCTCCTCTGGGAGTCCGTTGTACCGCTGCGTTTACTGGACCGACCCAAATTACTCAATAGACTTTTATCCAAAATCCTAAAAGCGGGAGACAAAGCTAAGTGGAACATTACTAACACGCCACAGCTTTAACCTCTTCTAGCTCACTTGGGACCCACGAAGCATCAGCCAAGGGAGAAAAGACATACATTTGGTGAGATGCTAGCTGGTCAGCCGGACCTATGTGCTATCTTCACTCTGGTAGAAACGTCTTTATTCGACCCTTCCCATGCAGGCCTTATCAATTAATAAATCCCATATTCACCCTCTCACCTTCTCCGTAATCATAGTTTTAAGGGTGGGCTTTAGGTCACTTCCTCGTCTCCCTAGCAACCAAGCACTAAAGGTGGCCGGAAGAGCCTAGGATCACGTGATCCCGGAACTTCCGGGTTTCCATCGTGACTTCCGGTTGTCAGAATTCTCCAGACGCGGCTGCCCAGCGGGGAAAACTGAGTGGCCCTAGGTCGCCGTGGCCCCTGTGGCGGTAGCGTCCGGGTGGGCTCCGCTCGTCCTGCCCCGGCTGCGATGCATCCGCGGCGCCCAGACGGGTTCGATGGCTTGGGCTACCGGGGTGGCGCCCGGGACGAGCAGGGCTTTGGCGTCGCTTTCCCTGCCAGGTCCTTCAGCTCCGGGTCGGACCTGGGCCACTGGGTGACGACGCCCCCAGACATCCCGGGCAGCCGCAACCTGCACTGGGGTGAGAAGAGCCCGCCCTACGGCGTGCCGTCCACCTCCACCCCGTACGAGGGCCCGGCCGAGGAGCCCTTTCCGGCCGGCGGCGGCGGCGGCGTGCAGGGCCAGAGCAACGGTGAGGGTGCGGGCCGAGCGGGGTGGTCGGGTGGCGGCGCCGCGTCCTGGGGCTCAGACCCGGCACACGCGCGACGGTCCCGCCCGGTTCCTTCTGGGCCTCGGCGCGCCGCGCGCCTTGCCCTCCTTTCGTCCTCTGCCTGAAGCGGGCCTCCTCCCTCTTCACCAGTGTGTTGCCTGGGATCACCTCCAAAAAAGACATCTGCCTTAGCCGTAGGGTGCATAGTAGGAATTTTTAGCGCCTGTAGTGTTACAGCCTATGTTCTGAATCAAGAAAGGCGGAAATGGGTTTATTTACTGTCATCCGCTTCACTTTTCTCAACTTAATGATTTTAACTGTAGCTTTGTGCTCCAAAAGAGAAGCTGTTGGGCACTAGCAGATGTGGAATCTACCTAGGTCTACCATCTGTAGATTGATTGACTTCCTAACCTCTCAGCCTTTGGTTTTTCTCATCTTTAAGACCTGTAGAAGAACAGTTACTATTTTTTCAAGTGTTAAGTGAACTGAGTAACACCTACTATGGGATACACAGTACACTCATAAAATACTCGGTTCCTTACTTTAACCTTTTAATCCTGGGAGTTATATGCTTTATCTGATCCCCAGTCCAGAAGTTTTCTTCCCTGTAATTTTCCCTTCTCCCACTGTTGTCAAGCAAAAACTTCAATTACAAGTTACAAACACTGGTGCAGTTTCAGGGTAGGACTTTGGAATCAAGACATAATTACGCTTTGTAGGATGTAGAAAGACCTGTATGTTAATCACAGCACAGCATGATCGAGTTATTTTTAGCATTCTTTTATTTATAAAATGTAAATATGTGCCTCTTCCCATTCTCCTGGAATTAGAATAATAGTTACACAGGTAACAAAATATTACAAATATACCCACACACATACATCCTACATACCAGCTGTATCCTCATTTTCTTGATTTTTGACTGGGAAGTACAGTAATATTTGATTTGTATTGACTAGGAAAAATGATTAGTAAGTAAACAAGGATGTGAAGGAAGATCATTGATTTATCCAGTTATACTGTCAGCTATTTGCATATGTGCTGCTGCACTCTGTCAGCTGTTTGGCTCCTGTGTAGTTTTCTTTCTCCTGTCATGCTGATCTCAGAATACTGGAAAGCTTTTATTAATAGTATTAAATAATTTAGAATGCATATAGAATTGTTACATACTTACCTTCTTAGGCAGTAGAGTTTATGTTTTTATCTTTCCTAAGCTGTGCTCTGATGGTTAAAAAGAGAAGCTTTTTAACAAAACCAGGGGTTTATTTTGCAGCTTTTGTCAGTCAGGTGAGTGTAACTTTGCAAAAGGACCAGCCACTTGAGAAACTTACACAGTCAACAGCAGTAAACCTCAACACCCTCAGTAGCATTTTCTCTTAATATGCAGCGATGAACTCAACACACAAAAAGGGAAAACGCTGAAGGGAGGAAAGTACCTTAACGTGGCAAAAGAAGCTCCGTCTCTCTCTCTAGCTTGTACATCTGTCAAGGCTGGGGATGGAGGTTTTGCAAAGGCTCCAGTACAGTCCTCTAGTCAAAATGAAGCACATAATTTCCCCAAGGAACATGCTCACATGACCACTTTTTTACTGCAAGGGAATAGTCAAGGCATTGCTTCTTTTGAAAAGCAGAGGGAATATTGTCCCATGAAAATTGTGTTGTAGCTGGTATTTAATGTGTAGTTCTCTAGGCTTGTGATAGTTCACCATTATGATATTTGAGTTCTTTAGTCAAGGAAAACAGGGTTTCTCTTAATGTACGTATAATAATGTTACCAACTGGATGTGTTACAGTTTTTACAAGTGAACCTTTTAGCTGAACTTTTTCAGTAGCACTGCTGAAATGCCGTGCGTAATAGCACATATGTACCCAATCATCTATCATAGAGACTGAACTAAACAGCTGCTCTGAGACTATTTAAATACTTGGTCATGGAAGAAGAGAGTTCCATTTACCTGTTTAGGTAATAGTAAAATAATTTTTCAAATTACTAATTTTGAGATAGTTTACTTGTAGCTATTAGTTTAACAAGATGCTCTGTCATCAGTAACAGAGAATAACTAGTATTACAGCATGAGAAGTCAAGATTTTGGTGTAAATATCAGTGATGGGTAGCCATGAAAATTATTTTGATTACAGTCGGGTGTTGGAAACTGATAATTTCCTTGTAATCCCAGCGCTTTTGGAGGCTGAAATAAGCCTCCAAGTTCAATGAAGTTGGAGTCCATTTGGGCAGTCTAGCATCTTAGTAAGACCTCGTTTCAAAATAAAAAGGGACTGGGGATGCACCTTCTGCAAAGACCCTAGGTTCAGTCACCACTACTGGTAGTCTCTGCATTCTGTCTGCATACTTGTTTCACTTAGCCTACGCAGTGCTGAAAACTTTTTCAGATGGTTACCATTGCCAATACTTTAAAAGTTGGAAGATGTTTTAATAAGTATAACAGTGCCATTTTTGAAAAAAAAATCACAATTTATGAACTCTGCCCTGATAGCCCCATGGTTGAACAATCAATCAGTTGGAGTTAAAGAGCAGTTGTACCTGTAAGAGGTTCATGGCTTGTACTTGGTCACAAGTCCATCCCACCCCATCCATCCAGAGTACTTCACTAATTCAAGTTAACCCCCTAGCTCCTCTCAGAATTGGACTTTGAGGTTTAAATGAACAGCAGAGTAATATGAGAAGAATCATGTTTGTCTTTATCTGAAATCTAAATAATGGTTATGAGTAATCTTCTTCTTTTTATTTTAGAACAGTTGAATAGATTTGCTGGATTTGGTATTGGACTTGCAAGGTAAGGTTTACATTTTTACTTAGAGTTTTTATTTAATATAATGGTCAGCATTTAAGGTTTTTTGGACTAGCAGATTAAATATTGTATATTTGCAGTCTAGCTTAAAATCTACAACTTGATTTTACTTCCAATAATGGCAGAAACTAGTAATTCAGTTTCATAAATAATTATATAATGAATATTATAACAACTCTCATGGATCTATCAAAAGAATATAATCAGATATAATCATATCTCCCTGTCCACCAAAAAAAGAGTAATTGTGCCTTGAGCCGTCTCTAAACATAGGAATGCTACCAAAATATTTAGCAGCATGAAGCCTAGATTTTGTCTATTTGGTGACATTTGGTGATGAGTTTTTTATCTTTTTATTCTTAGTGATCATTTTATTTAAGAAGAGTGAGTCTTAAATATTGTGATTTTTTTTTTTTTTTTAGTGATTACCAGTTTCATAAGGACAAGGCTTATATTTCATGCTAGAATGGCTTTCATTTTGAACTAAGAAAAAAGGTTTATTTGCACAAACCTGGGGATTTTAATGTCAATATAAATAAAATCGGAGCTTTTCAATGTGGAAGTTAATCTTTTAGCCTCACTTTTTATACTTAATGCTATAATTTTTCATATATTTATCTTTATATACATGTATGTGTATTTCACTGTTAGAGCTTAAACCCACAGCTATAATTACTTTGTAGGTAATATTTTTAAAAGAAGTATTTGATATATGTAAACAATTTAATCAACATAGCCATTAAAAATCCTGAAATTTAAATGGTAAGCATATCAAGATCAAATTTTTTGCAGTGCAGTTTCTAAAAAGTAGATAGCTTGCTGATAGGAACTATGTTGGTAGGACATTTTTGGAAAGAAATGGAAATTAAATGATGTAGCATTCCCATGTCAAACATACAGAGATCTTTTCTCATCTTTGTACTGTAGCTATTAATATTACATATTATTTCCTTATTTACCAGGTTACAGATCTGGTTTTCATTCTATACTGAATATTTGTTACTGGTGGAACCTTAGAAAAATATCCAGATATTTTTAAAAACCCTTTTACAAATCAAGAACATGAAATAATGCATGACTCTTCAGGCAAGAATAATATCAGAATTATTTAAAGAGTAATGTAGAAATATATGTAAATAAAATTTGTGTATAGGCACATATGACATAAATTATTTTGTATAGTCTCTTTACAGAAAATGTATTGGCCCATCCTTGCATTGTTCTACGCCGCCAGTGTCAGGTAAATAAAATTTCTCTGACAACCCTGATCCTAATTTCAAGTGTAGAATACAGATAAATAACATGAAAACATGTAACCATTAGTCCATGTGAAATGTTCCAATATTTCTAATGTATCATTCTCCAACTTTTTGATATGAAGATCCCATTAATGTCTTACAAATTATGGAGAATCCCAATGACCTTTGGTTTATGTGGGTGTCTTACTTTTCTCTTCACTGAGACAAAATACCTGGCGCCCAAAGTTAAAGGGGGAAAGGTTTATTTAACTTGCAGTTTGTGGAGGTTTCAGCCCATACTCGGCTGGCTCCAAGGAAGGGTGGCACATGGCACAGGAGCAACATGTTGTTCATGGTGGCAGAAGACAGTAAAAGCAACAGGAGAGTGAGACCCAACCCTCTTTCTGTCTCTTCTGTTGTGTCCAGTGTACTGGGATTAGGGCAGTTGGTGCCAATCCAGTTAGTGGACTGATCCAGCAATCACCCACCCTTGATCCCCCCATCCTAAACCCCGGGATTGCCTACAAATCAGAATCAGTTACACACTCTAGATTCAGCCACCTCTGGAAAAAAAAAAAGAAACTGATTCATGAGGCTTTGTGGGCACATTTAGCCACAATCCATAATAGTGGGTAATATTTGTTGATATTTGTTATTTCAGAAGTTAAAAGGGGAAACATAAATGTTAATTTAATCCATCAAACTAAGCACTTTAGATGCTAACAATGGCCTATTTTTGAAAATAACATTTTGTTTAATATGTGAAATAATAGGAGTTAGCCAGCATCTCTGTCTGCTTCTGCATTCAATCTATTGCAGGATGTTGTGTTTTAAAAGAAACAAAAAAGTCCAGCTCTGTCCATATATGTAATTGAATTCAAGAGTATATGTCCTTTTCAGGTAACTGTGGGTATTTTTTGAAATTATCCAAAACTCACCAAAGGTTATTTGTAATGTGAAACCACATGAATTTTTTATACTTTCTTACTTTGAAAAAGCCATTGATTTAAATGTCTTAAATGGTTATTTTTACTCATGAATTGGTTACAAGTATTGATTCATCAAGTTGTATAAGTCTTACAGATATTAAAGTGTTTGATTATACAATATCATAAAAATCTTCATTGAAAGTACAACTGATCTCACCAGAAAAATCTTTAATTATTGTATGCTTTTGATAATAGATACAGATTTCCCAAAATTATATTTGTTACTTGAATATCCAAACATATTGACAGAATATAGAAGCTTACATGTTTTAAATCAACAAGCTAACTTTGTTCACTTGTCAGAAGGTGTCTGTCTACAATATGAATGACTAGTCTGCCAGTGAGTTTTTCAAGCAAAAATGGTGTTCCATGAAGAATTAGCTACATCACCTTGCAGTCCCATCATAGAAGCACTTTCCCTCATGACAGCATCTTCGTTCCTAAGCACACAGGATGTTAGAGGATATGCACTGAGGGTCAAGATTTCATAAAATTCACATTTTTTTGTGTTTCATCAAGGATATTCTTAAGTGATTACTTTTCCTCCCTGTGAATATGTGGGGTGAAGGACATAATACATAAAAATATATGAAATTTGATGCTATTGCTTTGATTTGTGAACTAACAGTTTTACTCACTGTTGCTTTTGCACCATTAGTCCAAATATCAACACAGAGAGAGGTACCTTGGCATCAGTAAGAATAAATATAATTTTGAACTTTTTAATCTTTTGATAGTCGTGGAGAATCAGTGACCCACCATGTGACAAATACTGGTATCATGTAATTTACCTTTTTACCAAATAAATTATCCCATATTTGTTTGTTTTTAGAGTTTAAAACAATATAAATCTTTATAAATTTTTATGCATAGCGCTGAAAAGTATGTAAAAACAGTGGATGACTTATGTAGCACTGTCAGTAAATATACCCCAGAGCATTGTATTTCAGATGTACTCATTTTACGCACTGATAATATTACATCAGGATCCAGTGTATATTGTTTTGACCTTTTTAACTGATTTTGTAATTTACTCATTGATTGCAACATCTACTGTACTTTGAAAACTGGTTGCCTAAAGGCAGAGTAGGAAGATATAATGGTAATGTTTTAGGAAACAAATATCAAGCAGCAAGACTTTTTTATTATATTATCTTCATTACTATGTATGTTATACATTGGTCTTCATATTGTATTTATATGTTAATGTGTATTATATTTTGATAGACAAAGTACTCTGCGAAGTAATTTTGCTCATGTATAACTTACATTGACTTTAGAATTTAACTTCTTTATGGTACAACATTTGTCATGGCTTTATTGTTTCTTGACAAAACAACAGAAAAAATATGTAATATCTTTTTTGCAGGTTAATTACCATGCTCGGAATTATCATCTCACTCCATTCACAGTCATCAATATTATGTACAGCTTCAACAAAACTCAGGTAAGACTTAGTCTTTGGATCTATTAAAACTATGTATAATTGTCATTTGGACTTGGTAATCATTAAAATAAGAATAATTCCTTTAATTTGGTTAGTACAGATACCTTAACTGTTACAGTAAACCTACTGTTTCATAGTAATGATACCTTTTGAAATCTTGCAAAATTTTCATTTAATTAACTCAACAGAAATAAAGAGCTATGCAAAGATCCAGGAACTTGGCAGCAGTTACGATAATGTTATTAAGAGGCTTATAATTTAATCATGGAGACATAACCTTAAACAGGAGATTGTGGTGCAGGAAGATGCAATATTAGAAGTATAAAATGCTATCAGAATGTAGAAGAGAGGTATCTTATCAAAACTAGGACTGAGCACAGGATATATCTGGGGAAAAATTTGGGAAAAGGTTCACTGAGTTGTATGTTTATTGTTAAGTTTACATAATGCCATTGGTGGAGAAAAGGTTTCATAAGTAGATGTGCAGAGGCAGAAGAGAAGTTCCAATGTGTGATGATGGACTTAATGCATTATAGTGGGAGCTTGGAGCAGGGGTGAAGGATGAAAAAGCAACTGGGGAAGTATGCAGGATACAGATAATAAAGAACCTTTTAAGAACTGCACACTTAATCTTAACCGCTAAAAGAATATCACTGCAGTGTTTTAGCAGTGAGCAAAGTATTTCAAACAAACTTGGATTGTGTGGCAATATCCATCAGAATTTAAAGTGTGCACATTTAACATACTAATTTCATGTCTACAATTTTTACACGTTAATATGTACATAAATGTGCAATAATCTGTACAGAAAGATGTCATTGTGGCATTGCACATAATGAAATTGGAAATTATTAAATGTTCATCCATAGAGTATCATTAAAATAATGGTGGTATATTTATTTGGCAAAGTACCATGTACTTTTAAAAATTAAAAGGGTAGGTCTGTGTATACTGATAGGAAATGATCACTTGATTATTTTTTAATTGCTTTAGTTACTTTCATCTATTAAAACTGAACAAAACAATAACATTTCTAGACCTATATGTACACACTGAGGTATAGCTCTATATGCATCTTCTGTAAATAAGAAACTTCTGCCAGGAGACTGTGATGCAACTTTGCTTCTGATAACTATATTGTTTATTTAATTTGAGTGTGTCTGTATGTTGTTAATTAATATAAATAAATAAATTGTAAGAATAGAATGTCACTAATGGTATAGTGAAAGGGAAGGACTACTGAAGAGAAGAACATGGATCTGTAAGACAGAGCAAAATTTATAGAATTGATTAGATGAGAAGAGTGAGAAAAATATTATGCAGATACGTAGGATGGTGAAGATGACGTCTAGGGAAACAGGAAGTACAGCAGGTCAGGAAAGAATTGGGCTGGCATGAATAGGTGTGATGGAGGTATGCTGTGGACATAAAAATTCTGATATACCTCTGTGTCATCCAAAAGACAGGATTATTAAGGATTTGAGTATAGAAATATTAGAGATATTTAATAAATCAATTAATCATTAGAGGATTCAGTCATCCTGGCCTGAATATTGGCCACCTAACAAATAGTAAAGAAGCGATAGAAATTCATTTAGTTATACTTGTCTACAAGATTTCTATTAGAAAAATGCATATTTAGAAAGTATCAGTAAATATTCCACATTGAGTTTTGTTAAGATTTTTTGCATTTAAAATGTAGGCATTTGTAGAAATAACGCAAATTTTGTTCATTTTAGGGACCAAGAGCCCTATGGAAAGGAATGGGAAGTACGTTCATTGTCCAGGGAGTCACACTTGGCGCAGAAGGCATCATCAGTGAATTCACACCTTTGCCGAGGTACCTTCTTGGCATTTTTCTCAGCGTTAGTTTGTAACATATAGGAAAATATCTAAAAGTACTTCAAATCTGAAACTTGTTTGTAATAAGTAAGACAGAATTAAATTATGTCATTAATTATATTGTGTTGAATTAGTATGTGATAAAGAAAATGCTTCATGTCCCAGTATCTGCTAAGATACAGCTTTCCAGCTCCTGCTATTTGCCATCTCCTGCAATTGCCAGTTCAGGAACAAACATGAGTATCTAAAGAATTCCTGTTCTTTATGTAGCCAGCTCGGTGATAGTACTTTGTACTGTTCATGCTATAATTCAATAGTCCCGTGCAGAGGCCAAGTGACACTGTACCTGGAATTACTGGTAAGGATTTCCAAAAATAACTGAAACTTGAGCTAGATCTTGAATTATGAATAACAGTTGACTTGGCAAAAAAGGAAGTCATTCTAAGAAGCGGATGACAGCGTGCCCAGTGTTAGAGAAGCTGAACAATTCAACTAATAGAAGAAGTGATTTAGTCCTGGAATACTGCATATGTATTGGGTGGAATATTAAGAAGAGAAGCTGTAATGCTAAAGGATAATTATGTCCTTGTAATGTTTTATTCTCCATGGGGTTTGGAATCTAAGGCATTTTCATTTTTTTTTTTAAGTAGGAATGTTTTGATCAAGGATATACTTAAGTGGTAGAACAAAAAACAAAAAACGACTGGCTGTGGAGAGCTGCTAGGCCAGGATGAGGAGGTTCTTAGCTATAGAACAAAACAGAAAGGGTTGTGGTAAATGGACATTTTTGAAGTGTAATTGAGAATGAGAGTATGGGAGAGAGTTGTCAGCAATGACTGAGATGTCTGTATTAGAAAATGTTAGCCGAGTTGGGGAATTCATGAAGAACAAGTTGGAGTGGAGAAGATGAATTCAACTTTCAATAAATGAAACTTGAGGTTCTTGCAAAATTCCTGTGGATCATCATGTCTGGATGTTACTGTCTAGATGGCTGGAACTGTGGATCAGAGCCCTGTGGAAACTTGAGCTGGAGATATAGTTTCAAGTATTGTGGAGGAAGAATGGCACTTACAGCGTTAGAATGAGTAAAAGCCACCTAAGGAGACATTTTACACTAAATGACATAAAGTGGCCCAAAGACAGAACCCTGCGCGACTGCAGATTTGTGCCATCTCTTGTATAGGGGTGGGTGTGTTCTGGAGAGATAGTTGAAGGCGGTGTAATTAGTGATGTCTTCAAAGCAAATTCAAAACAGTACTAAGATACAGTATAATACATGGGATACTAGAAGTGAGAGGTTGTAGATACATTTGGAGGAAGAGGGTAGAGAAACTGGGAAAATTTGCCAAATGTCTTCTTGTTCTGTACAACTCTTTCCAATGTTACTTGAGAATAGAAAGAGAAACGTTGAAGTTGTAGAAGAAAAACATGAGAAGAATGAAATCCATTCGGACAGTCACAGCAGTGAGTAAGAAGGGAATCTGAAAACAGTATAGGAAAGGAACATTAATAGATATCAGAAACCATAAATTTCTTAGGTACTATTTGGCATGATGCTGTGATTTTTGGTATCAGTCCAGGAATAGCATTGAGGGCTTTGAGTAGTTCATTAATACAGTTAGTCCCGAGGGTAAATTTTTTGGATTGTCAAGGAAGTGAGGTAGCTGAAGGTGTAGCCATTACTACATCACATGTCCTCAAGGTTGGGATTTAATCTTTGTAGGGAAAGAAGGCAAGAAACTGACACCAAGCTTTTTTCCCAGTGTGATTGCTTTCGAAGAACCTCTATCTTCAAGTTCCTCCAGTACAATATGATAAAACAGTAGAAGCAAAACAAAGAAAGGTTAGAAATATTTGGCCAGCTAATGGTTCCATGTTTTCAATTCAAAATTTGATTTT